ATTTTAATCCATCACTTTATATTATAATACTTTTACCCTTATTTATTAGAATTAAAAAAAACAACTCTCACTTATAACATTTTGTTAATTATGTGAATTGATTGTTAACTTTATTAATTGACTATTAATTAACTATTAACTGGCAAAAACATATTTTCAGCTAATAAAATTAATAGTCAGTTGACAAAATAATTTTATTAACTGACTGTTAATTTTATTAGTTGATTTTTAGCTGACTGATGGTTGACAAAAACCTATTTTCAACTAATAGAATTAATAGTTAGCTAACAAAATAAATAATTAATTAACAAAACTAACGAAATATTATAAAGTGAGGATTATTTTCTTCAATTTTAATAGGTGAGGGCCTAAAAGTATCATAGTATAAAGTAAAGAGTTAAAACTTATAAATCTAGTAAGGTAAAGGGTTAAAAGTAGATTTTGCCTATAAATTGTCTTTGTTGGGCTTTCATTGGGTTGATATGTCACAACATGGCTTAATCTACAAGCCGACAGCCCAACAAAAAGGCCCTACATTTACCCAAAAAGCACCTATATGTTTTTGGGCTTTAAATTTGAACTAAAAAAGAGAAAAAAAAATAAAAGTTAATTGTGTTTAAAATTGTTATAAAGTATTGTAATTATATATTTTTGTGGTGCATTTTATTATCTTGAAAACGACATAAGTTACTGTTTGATAATTTTTTTTAAAATGTGCTGTATAATTATTAAATGATGAAAAATATATGTAAAATATTTTTTAAAATTAATTTAATTGTGACAAATTAAAATTTTTAATAAAATTCTCTAAAAAAATAAAAATAAAATACTGCATGAAAAAGTAGCGCAATAACAATCCTAGATGCTACCAAAAATTACGCGAACTTTCCTTATGGTTTGATAAATAATGAAAACCTACTTTTTTTTGTATGTGATTCGAATTGGCTAAATATATAGTACAATCAACACACTTTAGGTAAAGCAACCTTAATTTTTCCATAAGACTGCACAACACCACAGCCTCCATGGAGGGTACAGACACGGTTGGGTTGAGAGAGAGACATGACCAAGAGGAAGGGCAGCGGCATATTGACCTGGTGATGTTTTTTTATCAGTAAAAATCAGATTTTATTATAAAGATTACAATGGATATTTTTATATATATGTTCAAAAATACAATTTATAAACTAAGTCAACTGTAACAAATCGTACAAACCTTGGGGAAGGTAACAAAGACTCACGCATTAGGGAAGGCTGAGACTGCATCTGGAATGATGTGGCCGGTCTGATCGGTGTGGTTAGCAAGAAATCATAAGATATTTCATCAATTAGAGCAAAAAAAAGAAAAGCTACTGGAACTCATTCAACTGAGAGCTTTTTTATGGATTAAAGCAAGAAAGGTAAGATGTACATTTATCCTTTCTGATTGGCTCAACAATCCAATTGCATGTCTTACAGTTAATAGTGGAAGGAAAAGAAAAAGAGGGAGCAGAACAGAAACACTGAGAAAGGAGGGATAATCTTTAAATGGATGATTATCGGTTTTGAACTCTATTTATTAAGGGTAGAGTACCTCTTGTATTCAAGTTATCAATAAAAATATGTTTTGCTGTGCAAAAAAAAAACAAATCCTACAAACCCTAATTAATTAACTTCCAGTAATACTATATTGATATGATAATAATGTACTGTCGCCCCACACTGTATGTAGTATGTACACCCGAAAGTGATGTTACACCACACAGCAGTAATGCTAGCCTATGGGAAATGTAAATGCACGAGGACCTCATTCTTTCAGTACTGGAACCACCATGTAGCACTTTAGTGCACATCCACAGGTGATTGAGTGAATTATAATATCAAATGGTTTTACCAGCCAGGCTTTTTAAAGGTTTGATGCTATAAATTGTTTCAGGAAATTATAAGTTCAAATTCAGGCAGTAACAGCCAGTGGCCCTCTTCTGTGTTTATCGTTTCGTTCATAGAAAAAAAAATTGATACGTTCCAGGTAGAGGTCACTTCTGATGGTTATCGTGCCCAGCTAGCAGACCCCATCTCTTCAAGACATTGCTCAGACATTAAAATTTATCCAAAAAAGTGTTTTTACTGTCTATACTGTTTTAGATTGTAAATAGAGAAAAATTTATTGCTAGCTGGACCATCCAAAGTGTGACTATTTAAACAAAACTTCTAAATTTATTGCTCTTTACATTTTCGAAAACTGTGACAATCCGAATACCATGCAAAACAAGTTAAAAAGGACTGAGTTCTGTAGTGCTTTTTTTTTTTTTTTAATGTTAAATAACAAATTATACAATAATAATAGTTCTTTTATTCTCAAATTCTTTGTTGCAATTTTTAGATACAATGCAAATTTAAAGTTTTTAATATAAAAGTTTAAATTTTTATTAATTATCATAAAGTCCCCAAACAAGTTTCATTATCCTAATTACACGTAAACAGCGAGGTAGCCTGTATCATATTATACCGATCAATACGATTGATACGGTCGATATATATTGATTTTTAAGGTAAATTGAAATAGAATAACTTAGAATTTTGTTTCGATCAAAATTTAAAAATTTCAATCAAATTTTGACGTACTGACTGAAATTTTATGTACCAGTTGGTACACCGAAATTGAACTAGTACATTATGCAAGAATTAAAAAAAAAAAAAAGATTCTTTAGCCAAAACGATGTAGGGACGGCTTCTTCTTGACTTAAACCTTGCAATTTTAAATCGTACATGCAGATCTCTCCTTTGTTCTCCAGCTCCAATGTCCAATCACTACTCTCTTTCCTTAGGCTTCTTCATTAAACCTTGCAATTTTAGATTATAGATCTCTCCTCTGTTCTCCAACATCCAATGGTCGTTAAGGCTTGAGCTCCATTCCTCACAGGTGGTCCAACGACTCCAGCCACTGTCGGTGGTCTAGCTCCAACCATTACTCTCTCTTCCACCACTCTCCAGCAGCCTAGCTCTATTTCACGTATCTTCACATTTTCATTCCGAGGTTACTTTTTCTACTGATATGCATACATATCAAGTTTTGTAGGACAATTCTTGAAACTGAATCGAGTGAAAAAGAGAAAAAAAAAGGTTAAATACCCTTTTTGGTCCATCTACTATAGGAAAAAGCCCCTTTTTGATCCTTATATCGAAAAAATCCCCTTTTTAGTCCCTAAATTTTAAAATCCGGCCCCTTTTTAGTCCCTCCGTTAATTTTTGGTTGACGTGGCGAGTTAATTAACGAAAAAACTTATTTTTTTCCTTTACTTCAATTACGTGGAAAGTCTATCTAACAAAATTGATGACATGGCTATATTTTAAAGGTTATTTTGTGATTAAGAGTATTTGACTTTAATTACTAATTTACCCCATCTTCTTCCCGCATCTGTAACCTTTCCTTCCTCCAGCCTTCGCTTTTTTTTTTTTTCTTTTTACCTTTGCCTTTTGAAAATCGGATCTGGAAAGGCGAACCTAGTTGCCTGTGTTCGCTGGGTTCGTTGCGAACCCAGACATGGGGTTCGTCATATATTAATACTCATATATTAATAATAAATGGATGGCTGGAGCCAGGTGCGACGAAGCGAGCTCCTGGGTTCATGACAAACCCAGCAAACCCAGGCACCTGGGTTATTGTTAGTTTATTACATATATTGTCTTGTCCCCATTTTGGTTACATTTAAGAAATTCATCTTTCCCCAAGAATTTCATTTTGATTTTAAGCTTAAAGCTGAAACAAACCCTCACCTGTTTCCTGTGTTCAAACTAGAAATCTCTCCAAGGCCAAAAGAAAGAACTTCAAATCCATCTTTCTCAAGTTCTTAAAACCCTCCAAAAACGCCAAACCCAAGTATAAAAGCAAGGTATATTGCACCCATAAGCAATAATTGTAACGTTGAAGCTAATTTCATTCGATTATGTTTTTTTGCTCTGTTTCTTTTGTTATTTCCAAAACATAATCAAGCATTGGTTTTTGTTCTGAGATTCGATCATGGATGAGTAAATTATTAAATGTTTTTAGAAAATTTTGATGGGTTTTGAAGATTATGAGTTATTGATTAGTAAAGTTGGATTCTTTTTGTGATTTTTTTTTTCTCAGATCTAAACAGTCCCCAAAAGTGTACTATGCCAACAACCCCCAGAGGATCGTCGCCGTCTTCTGATTCCTCCACCACCAGTGTCCACGTGATGGCGCTAAACGGGCTGGTGAACATGAACTTGCTATTTACGATCGCTGTCTCGTGGGTTTGTCCTTGACTACACCTAGGCAACACAGCCTCAAGAACCCCTTCGCCTGTGACGCCGGTATCGACGTGGTGAAGAAGCTTCTGGTCTTTTAAGTCGTCTCTTTCAGCTTCTTCCTTTTCTCCTCGCTTGTCGCCCAAGGCCTAAAGCTCGCCGCCATCAATTTGCTCAACAGCAAAGATGTGGATAAAGTGTTCCGGGCCACCATTAACCAAAACGTGTTAAGGCTCAGGATGATGGGATCCGCCATGGGGTCGGTGATGGGGTGGAGTTTCTTAGTTCTCTTGATGGTGCACGTCATCAAGATCCAGTTGGGTATGCTGTCGTGTGGGAGCAAGCCAGCAATTCATGTCGTCGGAGCTCCGGTCCTTCTGGTTTCCTCTGCTCTCATGGTTTGTATTTCCACTGCTTTTTATGCTTTCATGCACTGAGAAAACTGAGTGGCACTCATCCATAAATTAATTGTACTTCCACTTCCATAAAATTGTAAATTTGTTTATGGTTTTTGTGTTTTTTTTTTTTTCAAATTGAGCTTCTTAATCATAAAGGTTAAAAAATACTCATATATTAATGTTGGAACCAGGTGCGACGAAACCAGCTTCTGGGTTCGCGATGAACGCAACGAACTCAGGCCTAGGTTCCTTTTTTTACCATGTATTTTAGGATGTGGGTCCCATTGATTATGGTTTTTTTCTTTTCCACACAAGAGAGTGACGTTAAGGGTGAGGTGGAGGGTGTCATGAAGTCCAGGTAAGCATTTTTTACACATCGGCATATCCACGTCAGTTGTTTCAGTTAAGTTAACGTGCCACGTGAGCAAAAATTAACGGAAGGACTAAAAAGGGGCCATATTTTAAAATTTAGGGACTAAAAAGGGGATTTTTTCGGTACAGGGATTAAAAAGGAGCTTTTTCCTATAGTAGAGGGACCAAAAAGGGTATTTAACAAAAAAAAAAAGTTCCTTCATCAACCAAATAGAAATTTCATTTGTATTTTTGTCAGTAATAAGTATTGTCAACATGACAATGTTAGTCATTCTAGATCTGGATTGAATCTCATTTGCTTTCTTCTTTTATTACAATTGATTGCATCAGTGTGCATCTACCAAAATTTTAGTTCAAATCTATGGTATTATCATGTTAGGAGCTAATGCCGCGCCTTTCATTTTATTAACTCAAAAGGTTTTCTCAAATTTTATCCCCGATTACATTAATTTTTCTTGTAATTATTTTAAATTTTGATATTTAATTTATAAAAAAATATATTTATAACAATAAATCCAAAACGATATGTGAAAAATTTTAATATTCGATTTGTACCATGTTAATAGTAAAACCAATACATATGTCGGTATGCTATTGACTTCCTTGGTAAATAGCATTTTTGTTTTGCTTTTATGGTTGGTTACAGAATAACAGTCAATCCCACTTGTATGTCTACATGCAAAATCGAACTTGAAAGTATGCAAGTAAACAATTACCATTACGTGCTTTTATCAATTTTTTTTCTAATAAGGGATGGCCAATTAAGAATGAAGGAGAGGAGATATATTATTAGGTACTCACTCATCTTTTCAACTTATTTAAGGAAAATTTGCGCTAACCATGAAATATATATTTCTTTTTTTTTAAAAAAAAAAATTTAACCCCTTTTTCTAATTTAATTAAAAAATAGTTAATTCATCTAACAAACCTGCTTATGAAAAATATATATATAATAAATATAATAAATAATAGTTAAATCTATAAAGACTTTTCCACAATTAATTTTGTTATTGCTTTGATTACAGTTTTAGACATTATGAAAAACAATAGATAAATTAATATAAAATCAATCTGCTTCTACTTCCTGCTTTCTGCTTAATTTGTAATTTCCCCTTTAAACTTTCATGGCTCTAAAATTTTTCTCTTTTTTTTTTCTTTTTGCTAAAGATATAATTTGAGATGACCTAAAATTAAAATATTAAAATTTTTTATAAAATTATTTAAATATTTTTAATAAATTAATATAAAAAATTTATTAAAAATATTTAAATAATTTCATATAAAGTCTACAGGATGTCTTTAATTTTATTTTTTCCTTACTCAAGCCTTCTCCTTTCCATTTTGGTTTTCCTTCTCCTTCTTCACCGGAACACGTCCGTCTGTACCCGCCAGCATAGCATACTTATCCTTCCTGGTAAAATTAGTGCCCTCGAATCCAAGAGTTCCGGCAAGCACCCTCTGGATATAATTCGCCACCTCAATTGCCGATTTCCCTCCCTTGACCGTTAGCTCCGTCGGCAACTGTTTCAAGAACGTGATCTCGTAGGTCGGCATCGGGTTCATGAACACAAAGTAAGGATCCAAAAGCTTGTGCCCGCGAACGGTGGTCCCATGAAACACACTCTGCTTCGTGTTAATCGCCACGGGTACGATCCTGTCCGTCAGTTCGGCGAACAGAGCGCTGAATCTCAATAAAAACGGTTCCCTGCAGGTGGTCCCTTCTGGACATATCACCAAGTCACCTTCTTGCAGAAGCCGTTTGATATTCGCGGCATCTTTCTCTCTCTCCCGGGACAAAGCAACGGCCTTGATTGGAGAAATGATTTCGGTGAACTTGCTGATACTGTAAGTGACGCAGCTGATTTTTCTTCCCAATGCAACGGCAGTAACAACAGGGTCTAACACGGTACGGTGGTTGCATACAAAGAGAACCCCACTTTGTCCCGTCCTTGGTGGCGGCGGCGGCGTGCCTTTAACGATGACTTTGATTCCAAGAAGCATGTAGTTATACCGAGCAATTCTCTCCGGTAAAGGAATATTCGTGTAGACTCGGAAAAGGGAGAGAATGAAGCCGATCGGCAGCCATAAAAAGGTCAAGAGGGCGACGACCGGCGTTGGTCTTTGAACTAACCGGCCCTCATGGAAGATAATAGGGCTGAGAAGCTTGTTTCTTGGTAAAGGATCGCACTTTGTCCTTGGTACCATATATCCTTCCTGCACATAATTAACATAGTTAAAAATATATTTATGAAATGAAATTTTTAGTTTACTCTGTATTAAAATGCTCATAATAATTATTAATAATTTAAATAATTTAATAAT